ACGTGAGTGTGGAGCTGGAGGACATTAATGACCACATGCCAAAATTCACTCATACATCCTTTGAATTGCAAATAAGTGAGTCCTCAAAACCCGGGACACGATTTATCTTAGGACCCGCCCATGATGCAGATATTGGAACCAATTCTTTACAGAATTACCAGCTTAGTCCCAATGATCATTTTTCACTAGTGAATAAAGAGAAATCCGACGGTAGTAAATACCCTGAAATGGTATTAAAGACAGCTCTAGACCGGGAAAAGCAGAAATTCTACCACTTGACCCTGACTGCTTTGGACTTTGGGCATCCACCCCTCAACAGCACTGCACAGATACAGGTCCTAGTGACTGATGCCAATGATAACCCTCCAGTGTTCAGCCAAGACATATACAGGGTGAGCCTTCCAGAAAGCGTGAACCCAGGAACCACTGTGCTTCGGGTGGTGGCCACAGACCAAGACGAGGGTGTCAACTCCGAGATCACATTCTCTTTCAGCGAAGCTGGCCAGATTACCCAATTTAACCTGGATTCTAATACCGGAGAAATTACTACTCTGGATACATTAGATTTCGAAGAAGTCAAAGAATATTCCCTTGTTTTGGAAGCAAAGGATGGTGGGGGGATGATTGCACAGTGTACGGTGGAAATAGAAGTCCTAGATGAGAACGACAATGTCCCTGAAGTGTTATTCCAGTCTCTACCTGATCTTGTAATGGAGGATGCTGAGCCAGGGACTTACATCGCTCTGCTTAAAACCCGTGACAAAGATTCTGGACGCAACGGAGAAGTCATCTGTAAATTAGAAGGCGGTGCTCCGTTTAAAATACTCACTTCTTCAAGAAATACATATAAATTAGTGACGGATGGAGTTCTAGACCGTGAGCAGAACCCGGAATATAACATTACTATCAGAGCTACCGACAAGGGTGACCCGCCTCTCTCTTCCAGCTCAAGTGTCACCTTACGTATAGGCGATGTGAACGATAACGCTCCAGTTTTCACAAAGGTTTCATACCTGGTCCACGTTGCAGAAAACAATCCGCCTGGAGCCTCCATCGCTCAAGTCAGCGCCTCTGACACGGATTTGGGGATCAATGGCCTCATCTCCTATTCCATCATAGCCAGCGACCTGGAGCCTGAATCGATGTGGTCCTACGTGACCATAAACGCGCAGAGCGGAGTGGTGTTCGCTCAGCGCGCCTTCGACCACGAGCAGCTGCGCTCCTTCCAGCTGACACTGCAGGCGCGCGACCACGGATCGCCCGCGCTCAGCGCCAACGTGAGCATGCGCGTGCTGGTGGGCGACCGCAACGACAACGCGCCACGCGTGCTCTATCCCGCTCTCGAGCCCGACGGCTCTGCGCTCTTCGACATGGTGCCACGCGCTGCCGAGCCCGGATACCTGGTCACCAAAGTGGTGGCTGTGGACGCAGACTCGGGACACAATGCCTGGCTGTCTTACCACGTGCTGCAGGCCAGCGACCCTGGGCTCTTCAGCCTGGGGCTGCGCACAGGAGAGGTGCGCACAGCGCGTGCCCTGGGAGACAAGGACTCAGCGCGGCAGCGCCTTCTGGTCGCTGTGCGTGATGGTGGACAGCCGCCCCTCTCGGCTACAGCCACTCTGCACCTGATCTTTGCTGACAGCTTGCAGGAGGTCCTCCCAGAGCTCAGCGATGACCCTCTGCCCCCAGACCCTCAATCCGAGCTGCAGTTCTATTTAGTGGTGGCCTTGGCCTTAATTTCTGTACTTTTCCTCCTGGCTGTGATTCTAGCCATTGCACTTCGACTGCGACACTCCTCCAGCAGGAAAGCATGGGGCTGCTTTCAGTCAGAAGTGGTGGTTCGCCCCAACTATAGTGAGGGGACTTTGCCATATTCCTACAACTTGTGTGCTGCAGCCACGGGGAAGGTTGACTTTAACTCCTTAACATGTAATGATCAGTTGAAATCAGGACAAGATCTACTATTTGCAGATTCAGCGGGGGCCTTGTTTCCACTTTGTAATTCCAGTGAGTCAACCTCCCATGAGGTAAGTTTCCTGCAAGCATAATGTACTCCTTTCTATCAGTTCTTCATATTCTCAGGAAATATATGCTTTTCAGATAGAGCCAGCTCTTAAGAAAGTTATAATGAAAAGTTAGTGGCGTGGCTAAGTGGTTAAGAGCACCTGCCTGGTATGTTGATCCAATCCCTAAGAAAAGTTTTAGTGGGTTAAAAAGTGCTCATGGGAGCTGGAGAGAGACTCAGCGATTAAGAGCACTGGCTGCTCTTCTGGAGGACCCAGGTTTGATACCCAGCACCCACTGCTGACAATTGTCTGTAACTCCTTTTCCAAGGGATCTGGTGCCCTCTTCTGGCCTCCGAGGGCATCAGACACCCACAGAGCACAGACAGGCAAATAGACAAAACACCTATACACGTTTAATAAATCTGAACCATGACCATATAATTCTTAAAAGAATAGATGAAGTAAAAGCACTTGTGTGCCTTGCAGGTGTAACACACCAACCTCAGATTCAAAGCTAGTGCTCTTATCCTACCGTGTAGAAATGTGCAGTGTTGGCTCTCCTTAAAATTTAGTGAGATTTCGCCATGAATTTTTTTCTGATACTTAATAAGACAAATGTTTGTTGTAACTTGAACATACTATAAATATAAAAGCAGTCACTGAGCTGGGTGTGGGGTGTAGTGGCTTACATCTTTAATTCCAGCACTTGGGAAACAGATGGAAGCAGGTGGATCTCTGACCTTGAGGCCAGCCTTATCTACAAAAAGAATTCTAAGACGGCTGCTAGGGCCACACAGAGAAACCCTGTCTGTAAAACCAAAACCAAAAAACTCATTGAAAAACTCACTAAAGGCAAAAACACACTAAAAATAGATATTTTCTACTGATTTAGCTGTTATAACCTTCGATATTGTTGGGTTTTTTTATGAGTATTTCCCTCCCCCCCCCAGACTCCTAGAATAAGATCTCTTAAGCTCAGCTCTATGCCCATGGCCCCTTGTAATTTTATACAATATATTTTGTGTAATCGGTTACTTAAACGAAGGTTCAGTATTCATCAAAAGATCAAAAGTTTTGATAATACATGTGTTTAATGCCAGCATTTGGGAGGTAGAGGCTAGCCCAGGCTATGAAACTCTTTCTAAACAAGCAACCAAGAGCCCAGAAGGTCAGAAGCAGATTGTTGTTACATAGGTTTTTGAGATTTTATCTGTACTGAACTTCATTCAGTAGACTCCACCATTGAAGAAGAGATGAACAATGCCTTCCCTCTGTTCCTTCCTGACACACTCCAACGTATAACTTTTAAAATTAGTAGTAGTAGCTGGGCAGTGATGGATCACACCGTTAATCCTAGCACTTGAGAGCCAAAGGCATACAGATCTCTGAGTTTGAGTGTGGCCTGGACTTTGAATGTTTGGTTTTTTTTTTCTTTCATCTGTTATACGCCTTCCAAGGATATAACTCACATCACAAGGCTTAGGAAGCAAGTGTCTCTGTCTGCTGAGCCATCTGGATGAACACTAGCATCCATCTTTTCTTTGTGCTCCTAAATTAAAATATATAGAGGTCTTCTACAAATTAAACTACCCCTAAGTAGAAATAGTCTTGAAGTCTTCAAATTTTTAGACAATCTTGCCAATCTTTTGTGCGAGTAAAAATTATTAATACATACAAAAGGTCATACTGCATTGTGTCACTCTGGGCATCTATAGCACCTGCTTCAGTCACTGACTACTTCAAACTATTGATAGCATTTTCATGGTGGCCTTAATCTTTATCTTTTGATAATAATTATATATGTACCTCACTTTTTGTTGTTCTTTGGATGAAAGTTATAATAGTAGACCTAACCTAATGTGGGCTGTGTGTGTGTGTGTGTGTTTCTCCCTTAAACACTCATCTGGTTTAAAGTACAATTATTACCAGGCTTGGTAGTGCACACCTTTAATCCCAGCACTGGAATGTACCAGCCTGATCTACCTAGTGAGTCCCAGAACAGCCAGACCTACATAGTCTCTCTCTCTCAATCTCTCTCTCTCTCTCTCTCTCTCTCTCTCTCCATATATGTGGAAAGTGGGAAATAGAGTATTGCTTTTACTTGTGCCCTCATCTGTACCTTGCAAGCTAGGAAAAGATCAGAGATTTAAAATTAATAACAAGAAAGTAGGAACTCTGATTTTTAAAAATAAATTGTAAAAGTATTCATCCTGTTCAAATTTCACAATGTTAATCTGAAATTTTATTGGTGTTTGATTAAAATAACATTTAAAAAGAAAGCATAAAAGCAACAACTCTGTGGAAAGCTACTACTATGGTTAGTTTAAACTAGACAAAACGACCCTCCAAACAATCATCTCCAATAGATCTTGTCTAGTATAAAAGTGAATTAATTTCCAGTAACAACTAGAATTCCTAATTTAGTGGTATATGTTGAAACCATTCACACAAAGCTAGGAAACAATGGGAAATTAAACTTTCCTGTTTGCTTTTAGTGAATGTGGACCAATCATTCGATGCAATGCTAGCCCACGGATCTGATAATTTATATAATCACACTTTATCCAACACAGATTTGTACTTTCTTCTAAAATATGTATTTAGGAACAAATTTAAACTTAAAAGTAATGGGGGAAAAACCCAATTCATTTGCAAAGCTTAAGTAACTGCATCTAAGTGCAGTAACAATTTAAGACTCTAAGCGCCGCTGTTCACCTGCTGGCAGAGAGATGCACCAGTAAAGCCATCGAATTCTCAGCGCTGATGAGGTCAGACAGGCAGATTCCGGAGTCCAGCTGCGGAACTGCGGAACTGCGGAACAATTCTGTCCATAAATATGTGGCTCTCCAGCTTTCCGTAAGATTATTGTTTCCATCGCCACAAGCAAAGGTAATCCAGCCACCTATGCCCAGTGAAGACTGAGCGGATTCTTTTGAGAATGAACAATGGCTGCTTCCAAGAATCAACACAGGCATGGCCGGCTGATGCTGCTGTGTACCCTACTGGGGACGCTGTGCAAGATCGGGGTAGGACAGATTCGCTACTCGGTGCCAGAAGAGACAGACAAAGGCACTGTTGTAGGCAACATCTCCAAGGACCTGGGGCTGGAGCCCCGCGAGCTGGTGGAGCGCGGGGTCCGCATCGTCTCCAGAGGTAGGTCGCAGCTTTTCTCCCTTAATCCGCGGGGCGGCAGCTTGGTCACCGCAGGCAGGATAGACCGGGAGGAGCTGTGCGCTCAGAGCGCGCCCTGTCTTGTAAATATCAACATCCTAGTTGAGGAGAAAGGAAAACTCTTTGGAGTAGAAATAGAAATAACTGATATTAACGATAATAATCCGAAGTTCCATGTTGGAGATCTGGAGGTGAAAATTAATGAAATCGCTGCCCCTGGAGCACGGTACCCTCTTCCAAAAGCCGTTGATCCAGATGTGGGCATAAACTCTCTTCAAAGTTACCAGCTCAGCCCCAGTCGCCATTTCTCTCTGGACATTCAGAGGGGAGACCACGGGGCTATAAACCCAGAGCTGGTGCTGGAGCACACCTTGGACCGAGAGGAAGAGGCCGCTCACCACCTGATCCTCACCGCCTACGATGGCGGTGACCCGCGCCGCTCCAGCACAGCGCTCATCCAGGTCACAGTGTTGGATACCAACGACAATGCCCCTATTTTTGACCAACCTCTTTACCGCGTGAAAGTCCTTGAGAACGTGGCCCCTGGCACCCTGCTGCTTACAGTGAGAGCTAGCGATCCGGATGAGGGTGCCAATGGGAAGGTGACATATAAATTCCAGAAAATTAATGACAAACAATCGCTGTTATTCCATCTTCATGAAAACACGGGGGAAATGACAGTAGCGAAAAATCTGGACTATGAAGAATGTTCATTGTATGAAATGGAAATACAGGCTGAAGATGTGGGGGCGCTTCTGGGAAGGAGCAAAGTGATAATTATGGTAGAAGATATAAATGACAATCGGCCGGAAGTGACCATTACATCCTTGTTTAACCCGGTATTGGAAAGTTCTCCTCCCGGAACAGTAATTGCTTTCTTGAATGTGCATGACCCAGACTCTGGAAAGAACGGCCAAGTTGTCTGTTACACACATGATAACTTACCTTTTAAACTAGAAAAGTCAATAGATAATTATTATAGATTGGTAACGTGGAAATACTTGGACCGAGAAAAAGTCTCAGCCTACAATATCACAGTGATAGCTTCGGATCTAGGAACCCCACCTCTGTCTACTGAAACTTACATTGCCCTGACTGTGGCAGACACTAATGACAACCCTCCTCGTTTTCCTCACTCCTCCTACACAGCCTATCTCCCAGAGAACAACCTGAGAGGAGCCTCCATCTTCTCATTGACTGCACACGATCCTGACAGCCAGGAAAATGCCCAGGTCACTTACTCTGTGTCTGAGGACACCATACAGGGAGTGCCTTTGTCCTCTTACATCTCCATCAACTCAGACACTGGTGTCCTGTATGCACTGCAGTCTTTTGACTTTGAGAAGATACAAGACTTGCAGCTATTGGTTATTGCCACTGACAGTGGAAGCCCACCTCTCAGCAGCAACGTGTCTCTGAGCTTGTTTGTGTTAGACCAGAATGACAATGCACCTGAGATTCTATACCCTAGCTTCCCCACGGACGGTTCCACTGGTGTGGAATTAGCTCCCCGCTCTGCAGAGCCTGGATATCTGGTGACCAAAGTGGTGGCAGTGGACAAAGATTCGGGACAGAATGCTTGGCTGTCCTACCGTCTGCTCAAGGCCAGCGAACCTGGGCTCTTCTCTGTAGGACTTCACACGGGTGAGGTGCGCACAGCAAGGGCACTGCTGGACAGAGATGCTCTCAAGCAGACTCTGGTGATGACTGTGCAGGACCATGGCCAACCCCCTCTCTCAGCCACTGTGACTCTCACTGTGGCGGTGGCTAACAGCATCCCTGAAGTATTGGCTGACTTGACCAGCATTATGACCCCTGGGGTACCAGAGGATTCAGATCTCACACTCCACCTGGTGGTGGCAGTGGCTGTGGTCTCCTGTGTCTTCCTTGTCTTTGTCATTGTCCTCCTAGCTCTCAGACTTCAGCGCTGGCAGAAGTCTCGCCAGCTCCAGGGCTCCAGAGGTAGATTGGCCCCTGCACCTCCATCACACTTTGTGGGCATTGACGGAGTACAAGCTTTTCTACAAACCTATTCTCATGAAGTCTCACTCACTTCAGGCTCCCAGACAAGCCACATTATCTTCCCTCAGCCCAACTATGCAGACATGCTCATTAACCAAGAAAGCTGTGAGAAAAATGATTCCTTATTAACATCCATAGATCTTCACGAGAGTAAGGATGAAGATGCTTGTGCTCTGGTAAGTTCCATTCTATGACTTCTCTGAGAAATTTTGAGATATGCCGAACTCTTTTGTAAATTTAAGTGATGGTAATGCAAAAACTGAACACTGAAAAGTCATAGGCCATTGCTTAGTTCGTTTTCAAAGGGGTTGAACAAAGCCTGATGTCTTAGGGTTTTATGGCTATGAATAGACACCATGACCAAGGCAAGTCTTATAAGGAACAACATTTTTTTTTTTTTTGGTTTTTCGAGACAGGGTTTCTCTGTGTAGCCCTGACTGTCCTGGAACTCACTCTGTATACCAGGCCAGCCTGGAACTCAGAAATTCGCCTGCCTCTGCCTCCCAAGTGCTGGGATTAAAGGCGTGTGCAACCCCACCAGCAGGGACAACGTTTAATGGGGGCTGGCTTATAGGTTCAGAGGTTCAGTATCATCAAGGTAGGAGTATGGCAGCATCCAGGCAGGCATGGTGCAGGAGGAGCTGAGAGTTCTATATCTTCATCTGAAGGCTGCTAGCAGAATACTGGTTCCAGGCAAATAGGATGAGGGTCTTAAGCCCACACCCACAGTGACACACATACTCCAACAAGGCCACACCTCCTAATAGTGCCACTCCCTGGGCAGAGCATATATAAACCATCACACTTGGGATTATAGGTTAGTTATTAGAATGCTTGCCTAGTTTGCACAAATCCTGAGTTTGATCCCCAGCAACACATAAACTGGGCTACATGAGACTCTCAAAACACACCAAAAAAGGCTCATTCAAAACACTTAGGTAAGACACTGCTCAACTTTTAAAACATACTATTTTTTATCACTCATTCAATGAAGATCTGATTACCTACCACAAACAGTACTTTTTCTACTTGCACACATGTGCATTCTAAGTTAGGACTTTAGAAAAGCAGTTGAGATTTCCAAATTCTTAGTAATCACCTTAGAAATCACCAAATATGTGTCACAATCATATTAACCTCCAAGTAGGTACTGCAAGCTTTCTTGACTTAAAATATCTTTTGAGTTCTGCTTCTGCATCACTACTGCTCACTTTACTGACTCTACTTCAAGCCACAAACACACTTTAAAATGTGGATTCTGGTTGACGGTGAAACTGGTGTATGAATGTTGAGTGTGTGTGTGTGGATGACCACCCTTCTCAAGCTCTATAGCAATGGAGATATTGCATCTAAAGCAACAGTTAGATTAGTACCCCTCCCCCAAAAGAAAAACAACAAAATATAAACTTAAGTAAACTTTTATAAAATAGTGAAGAACCCTTTTAAGTAGACTAACCATGAGCATTTTAGGCTGTACAGACATCTGAAATGGTGGGAGCTCATGAATGATAAACAAATTCCACATAAGTTGACCGATTCCACAGAATTATTTAGAGTAAATTATACGCACTGTCTGTATTTCTTGTACCATTTGAATAAGTCTAATTCCTAATTTATCACCAGTCAAAAATAGGAGATAAGATAAATGTTTTGTGATTGCGGAGAAGGTTATTTCTCAAGTAATGCAGTGCTCCATCCTGGGTTGCATATACATGGGAGTAGAAATCAACATCGCACATTCTGTGGCATCTTGATGCACAACCATTGGAGGAGACGACTATCATCAGCACTTTGACATTTTGGGGGTGGGCAAGGAAAGTTTTCTCTTGTCTTGTAAGCGTGGAGCCCTGGTTTGATTTCCAGCACTTCAAAAACTAATTAATGGAGTATACAGTTGGACCAAATGTCACTATATTCAGTAACCTCGTGTAATGGGCTTACAATGAGCTCAATTCCAACGTCATTGCATTATAATAGTGTAGTGCCCGGGTGAAGAACCAATGTGGACAATTTGTGTTGCACATGGCTGATCATTTCCCCAGTACGTTTTAAGAATTGATATAATATAAAGAGTAGGATAGAAACTATGCAACTTGGAAACAAGAAAAGGAGAGATCTTGCAGGCTGCATTCTATCTGTGCACTACATCACTTAGCCAGTCTTCTCAAATGAGTATCTTTTTGTTGTTGTTGTTTTGTTTTTCAAGACAGGGTTTCTCTGTACAGACCTAGCTGTCCTGGAACTCACTCTGTAGACCAGGCTGGCCTCGAACTCAGAAATCCGCCTGCCTCTGCCTCCCAAGTGCTGGGATTAAAGGCGTGCGCCACCACCACCCGGCAAATGAGTATCTTCTAAGGAAGCAATAAAGATTCTCTTTGTTTTTCTAAAGGGGAATGTTAACATTACCAGGAAGAAAGAAACAACATTGATTACCTAGAAATATAGACAAATTATAGACATAAATAAAAGGGGAGTAACAGTAATTCCAACATATCATAGCCAACAAAGACGTGATTTGTGAACTTGATAATCTAGTAGACTCCAAGGACAAGACTAATGGCACGTTAGTTGTTAAATTCTCACTCAAAAGGTTAACTAACATTTTGCTTTAAGAAAAAGTGCACTGCATGTAGGGTGATCAAAGAATGATCATTATAATGTAGGTTTGCATAAAAAATCAAAGTGATGTATCAAACATCTTGAAAGAGTAAAAAGACATATAAAAGAGGTGTTGAAACTTTGTTGCTAAATATGCGAATATTATAATATGACTAGTTTACTTAGGCACAATTACTGTAATATTGGGTGGCGGGGGACCAAACAGCAGAGACTGCAGTTTCGCAATGCGGACTCTGGGCGCCGCTGTTGGCCTGACTGAAGAGGCTGAAGCTCCAC